ACCCTTTCACGCGCATCCCAAATCGCCTAGTCAAGCGTACAAGCCCCTCAGCATCCTGGCCTATGGGACTCAAATTAATTTTCTTTCACGAATCCTTCACCACGTGCACGACTTTCGTGGAACTTTTCCGAAATCTATTTAATCTTACCCGTCTGACATCTGTCAATATATAATATATAATATATAATATATATTGGAGAGAAGAGAATATTGCCAGACCTGTACTATCGCCATTCTATTTCCGCACTGTGAAGTGTGAATACTATGGGCCTCCCATCCGACCCCACTACAAATGTAAGGGTTCTCTTTTTTTTTTTTTTTTCAAGTCCATGGTGTTGTAGAGACCAGTCACTGAGTGAGGGTTCTTACAAAATCGCCTTTCCATCACTCCCTAATGACATGAAAAAACGAACTCTAAGCTGTGAGGGTCCGGCCCTAAAAAAATGAGCACGGATGTGGCTGCTACGGGGTTCCCCGTAATAATACTATAATGACAATTAAAAAAGGCCTGGCCGTCCTGTCCAGATTTGACAGGCTAGCCTTTTAAACAACAAAAGGCAGAAGGACAAAACGAAAATCTCTAGAAAGCCCCTGGAGGTGACTAGAAATGTAAGGGTGGGAAGCTACGGATGGACCCGAGAGGCCGAGGTCCTGACACCCGATCCTCCTCACCTGAGATGTAATGGCGGGTAAGTGTATGGTCTTCCTTCGGGGGGCAAGGACCCACTTGCTCAAATTAGGAGATTTCGGCCGTTCATCTTTGCTATCTAGGGTCAGTATCTCTTACTTAATTCGTGCAAGTGGGACCTAGCTGTGGAAAGGAAAAAAAAGATAGGGTAAATTAATCACCCTGGGGCTTGGTAGAGCAAAGAGGATGGGATGGAAATCCTGAATCTGGCCATGTTGTTTGCAGAGATACAGAAAAGCAGTTCGATCTCGATTTCCTGCTCCTGTCCCCAGATTCAGGCATTCAATCCGATCCTCTCTTGCTAATGGGATCACGGCCCTGGTCCAGTTGGGGGCCCCTTGCAATGTAAGGATTCGTAGAAAAAGAAGTAAGGGGAAATTAAACACCCTGGTGCAGTTAGGGCGCAGGCACAATGTAAGGATTCGTAAGTGGTGTGGAAGGAGGTCCTATGTCTCTGTTATTTTTTTTTTTTTTTTTACAGCTTTATTATAAGCCCAGGGTGTTGTAGAGGCCAAGGGCTAGACCCATGGTGAGCGCTGGCAGCTGCAGCGGATAGTTGTCCTGACTTGGCCCCCCGCTATCAGTCAATTTCATCCCCTTTCTCGTTCTGAATGAAAAATTCACCCGTTTTATAAAGGGTTAATTTCAAAATTATTGCTGTTTAAAAGTTTGGCCGAAAAAATGTCGTTCGTTCGAAGTTTCCTTTGCAAAAATAGATAGATGTTTCATTGCATCTTTATCGGGTCGGGTTCCCACCATAGTTTGCCAGCAAAAATAAAAATACCGCGTTTTGATGTACTTCGGGGGAACTTGTAAGGGATTTCTGTTTTTTACCTTTTACCGGTTTAGGGACTCGAAACTGGGTATGATGGTGTGATATGAGGTACGTAACCTTTTTGCAGTCTTGGAAAATGGGGCTGTTTCTTGAAGTGACTTTTTCAAATTTGTATGGTCACGGTACTGGGTCTACTGTCGGAAGTTCTATACACGTTTGTTTTGTTACTGAGGTTTTTTTGTAGTCACGTACAAAAAAAAAACAGTACCAAAGAAACCGGGATGTGACAATTGATAAGTAGCTCGAAATTCTGTTGTTCTTTTCTGAAGCGAAGGTTTAACGACCTTGATAATGACGACTACTCCGGAGGTTTCTAGATGGATGATCAATGTTTCGAGATAGGCCTGGTGAACTTTGTCCTGTCTTTGGGTTACCTACTTGCTATTTTACGGAGTTCGTATTAGTATTTCTTCTCGTGCTCTTTTAGAGTAATTTTTGTAGTGTTTTTCTCTAGGATATATAGTTGCTAACTCACATAAACCAGACGACAAGACCCAGGCCTGGTGAACTTTGTCCTGTCTTTGGGTTACCTACTTGCTATTTTACGGAGTTCGTATTAGTATTTCTTCTAGTGTTCTTTTAGAGTAATTTTTGTAGTGTTTTTCTCTAGGATATATAGTTGGTAACTCACACAAACCAGACCACAAGACCCCTGACGAGTGCTGGTCGCGTCAGGCAGCCGAAACCGGTCGGGTCATGTTCCGACAGTTTTTCGCTTTTTCTCGTTCGGAACATGTCGCGTTCGGGATGTTCTTCAACTATTGTCCTATGCTGCCTTCTCCTTGCTTCTTCTTCTTTTTCTTCTTCGTCTTCTTCTTCTTCGTCTTCTTCTTCTTCTTCTTCTTCTTCTCTCTCCTTTTCTTTCTTCTCTTTCTACGGTTTGCTGAACTGCTTTGTATGCTAGGACTTTTTTCCTGTTGGTCGCTTTCGTAAGTTTATCTTACGACAACAACAAGTTTCACAGCGAAGGACCCCTATAGGCCCCTGGCCTCAGGGACTCAGCGTTCTGGCCTCACGCACTCAGCTTTTCTCTTCTTTCTTTTTTTCTTTTTTTTTTTCTTTACACGGGCGTGGCCGAGGCGTCTCGGCCGTGGCCAGGCCCGATATGCCTCAGCCACGTTTCTTGTTTTGATTTTTTTTCGCGGCCGTGGCCGAGGCAGGCATCTCGGCCGTGTGCACGCCCAGATGCGTCGGCCATGCCCCAAGAAAAAAAAAAACAAAAAAACTCCCTGAGGCCAGAACGCTGAGTCGTTGAGTCCTGCCTCTCGGCCGTGTGCACGCCCAGATGCGTCGGCCATGCCCCAAGAAAAAACAAAAAAACAAAACTCCCTGAGGCCAGAACGCTGAGTCGCTGAGTCGCTGAGTCCCTGAGGCCAGGGGCCTACGGGTCCTTTGCTGTGAAACTGGACAAAACGCGGCATTTTTATTTTTGCTGGCAAACTATGATGGGAACCCGACTCGATAAAGCTGCAACGAAACCTCTATCTAATTTTGCAAAGGAAACTTCGAACGGACGACATTTTTGCTACCAAACTTCGAAAATGCAATATTTTTGCTATTAATCCTTTTATAAATGTCAAAAATGTCATTTTCCGCGAGGCACAGCTGTGACATAAGGTTTTTATTGGATTTCTTTCGTTAATGGATTGTTTGGGGGGTGATGTAACTTCAGTCCAGTCACAAAAACAGTTCGAAATGTAGTTTTTTTGGGTGGATTTAACTTCAGTACAGTCACAAAAACAGTTTGAAATTAGACTTTCGCAATTCCCCCCGAGCACAACACACCCCCACGCAACCTCACCTGACCTGAAAGCTAGCTTGTATACATTGCATGAAGTACAATTTGAAACTGTTTTTTGCCCCAACAGTATTTTCAAACTGTTTTTGCGACTCCCGCATTGTTTCCCCTTTTTTTTCTGTGTGTTAATTTGCTCCTGAGCTCATTTCCTTCGTCTTCTGATGCACGATGCATTTGGCTTTTTGGCTTTCTCCCTTTTCTTGGATCCTTTTCCCGACACGCATTCTCTCTCTCTCTCTCTCTCTCTCTCTCTCTCTCTCTCTCTCTCTCTCTGTGTGTGTGTGTGTGTGTGTGTGTGTGTGTGTGTGTGTGTGTGT